GGGAGGCAGAGGTTGTAGTGAGCTGTGATTACTCTCCTGGGCGACAGAGTGAGACCTTGTCTCAAAAAAAAAAAAAAAGAAAAAAGAAATGTGATCCCCAATGTTGGAGACAGGGCCTGGTGGGAGGCAAATCCCTCATGAATGACTTGGTAACCCGGAGGTAATAAGTGAGTCTTCACTCTAATAGTTCACACAAGAGCTGCTTATTTGAACTCTCTGTCTTGCTCCCTCTCTTGTCACACGATGTGCCTGCTTCCCCTTTGCCTCTCGCCTTGAGTAAAAACTTCCTGAGGCCTCCCCAGAAGCCAAGCAGATACTGGCAAGATGCTTCTTGCAGAGCCTGCATAACCGTAAGCCAGATAAACCTCTTTTCTTTGTAAATTACACAGTCTCTGGTATTCCTTTATAGCAACGTAAAGTGGACTAATATAGAGAGACAATACATAAATAAATAACTAAATGATTTCCAAGCCATAATAAGGGCTACGGAGGCATGGATCATGAGTTCTTAGGGAGGAGGGTTACAGAAGCCTTCTGGAAAAAGGTGATATTTGTACTGAAACCCAAATAAAGGGAGAGAGTGGGCCCTGTGATGAATCAGGGAAGAGCATTCCAGGTGGAGGGAACAGTGAGGGCAGAGGGCCCAGAGCAGGAAGAATGAGCTTAGCACAAGGGAGCCAGGGTGGCTGGAGAAATGAGCAGAGGGGAGGGAGGTGGGAGAGGAGGCCACCAAGGTCATGAGAGGAGGAGACAGGGTTGGATGGACTCCCAGGTTTGGGGCCTGAGTGCCTGGGAGGATAGGGAGGAAAGCTGGAGAGGACTGTTAGTTTCCAAGGGAGATGTTGAAGGAGTCTGGAGCTCGTTGGGGGGTCTGGGCAGAAGGTGGAAATATGGATGCTAGGCTAGGCATGGTGGCTCATGCTATAATCCCAGCACTTTGGGAGCCATAGGTGGGTGGATCATGAGGTCAGGAGTTTGAGACCAGCCTGGCCAACATGGTAAAACCCTGTCTCTAATAAAAATACAAAAAATTAGCTGGGCATGGTGATGTGCACCTATAATTCCAGCTACTCACGAGGCTAAGGCAGGAGAATCTCCTGAACCCAGGAGGTGAAGATTGCAGTGAACTGAGATCACGCCATTGCACTCCAGCCTGGGTGACAGCAAGACTCTGTCCCCCCCACAAAAAAAGAAATATGGAGCCAGGCGCGGTGGCTCAAGCCTGTAATCCTAGCACTTTGGGAGGCCGAGGCGGGTGGATCACGAGGTCAAGAGATCGAGACCATCCTGGTCAACATGGTGAAACCCCGTCTCTACTAAAAATACAAAAAATTAGCTGGGCATGGTGGCGCGTGCCTGTAATCCCAGCTACTCAGGAGGCTGAGGCAGGAGAATTGCCTGAACCCAGGAGACGGAGGTTGCGGTGAGCCGAGATCGCGCCATTGCACTCCAGCCTGGGTAACAAGAGCGAAACTCCATCTCGATAACGCTGAGCCTCACCCAAGGGAAGAAATATGGGTCCTGTGATGGTAGACATGGTTTTGAAAGTCTCAGGATCAGACAGGGTTCCCTGGGGAGAGGCCCAGCGTCAGCAACGTTTAGAGATTGTCTAGGGGGCCAGGTGTGGTGGCATACACCTGTAATCCCTACACTTTAGGAAGCTGAGGTGGTGGATCACTTGAGGTCAGGAGTTTGAGACCAACCTGGCCAACATGGTGAAACCCCATCTCTACTAAAAATACAAAAATTAGGCATGGTGACATGTACCTGCAGTCCCAGCTACTTGGGAGGGTGAGGTGAGATTATTGCTTGAACACAAGAGGTGGAGGTTGCAGTGAGCCAAGATCACGCCACTGCACTCGAGCCTAGGCAACAGAGCAAGACTGTCTCGAAAAAACAAACAAACAAACAAACAAACAAACAGATTTTCTAGGGGAGGAAGGACCAGAAGAGAACCAAAGAAGGAATGACCAGGCTCATACAAGGAGGTTGGAGAAGGATGGGTGCCGTGGCTCAGCTTGTAATCCCAGCACTTCAGGAAACTGAGGTGGGAGGATCATTTGAGGCCAGGAGTTTAAGACTAGTCTGGGCAACATAGCAAGACCCTGTCTCTACTGGAAAAAAAAAAAAAAAAAAAAAGGACCACAGCACCATTGCAGGGGCTCAGGTAGGCGGTCTCAGGGAAGGAGGGGGCAGGCCTGGGGCCCAAGGCTACCAGTGGATAAGGCAAGGATCTGTGTGACCCCAGGCAGGACCAGATTGGGTGTGGCGGGGAGTGCACTAGGACCCTAGGCCCAAGTAACAGGTTTCCCAAGGGACACAGGGGGCCAAGGAGACTTTGTTCTGGTCCTGTCCCTCAGAGGCAGGGCTAGGGCAATGGAAGACCCTCTCTCTTGCCCTGGGAAATCATGGGAGTGATGCTGGGCCTAGACCTGGAGAGGGTATGTCACAGGCTGGACAGGGCAGACGTGTGGGTGTCAACCTCGATTCTATACCTTCTCTGGGCCTGAAGCCTATCTCTTTAGTGGGGTGAAAATGTGACTCTTGCCCTGACCCCAGGGGACTGTGAGACTTGGGCAGGAGCCTAGAGGTCATTCATGCTTTTTAAATTTTATTTTAGAATCGGGGTCTCACTTTGCCAACCAGGCTGGAGTGCAGTGGCATCATCACAGCTCACTGCAGCCCCAAACTCTTAACTCCTGGGCTCAAGCAATCCTCCCACCTCAGCCTCCTAAATAACTGGGACTATAGGCACGTGGGACTAAAGGACTCTAGGGCTAAAGGCAGCTGGGACTATAGGACTATCGGACTAAAATCACCCAGACTGGTTATTTTTTAATTTCGCCCTTGTTGCCCAGGCTGGAGTGCGATGGTGTGATCTCAGCTAACTGCAACCTCCATCTCCCGGGGTCAAGCGATTCTCCTGCCTCAGCCTGCCACGTAGCTGGGATTTCAGGCATGTGCCACCACACCCAGGTAATTTTGTATTTTTAGTAGAGATGGGGTTTCTCCATGTTGGTCAGGCTGGTTTCTAATTCCCAACCTTAGGTGATTTGCCCACCTCGGCCTCCCAAAGTGCTGGGATTACAGACATGAGCCACCGCTCCCAGCCCACCCTGCCTTTTGAGTAACAGCCACAGTTGCTGCAAACATGGGAAGGCACGGGGCAGGTGGGTCTCAGTTTTACCATCTGTCACACAGGAAACTCATTTTCCCCATCCTCAATCCCAGGGCCTACAAGCAAGCCTTCACATCTCAGCCCAGGTGAACCTTCTCAAACCTCTGGCGTCCTTGCCCTCTCATCAACCTTCTATGGCTCCGTACTGCCCTTTCCTGTGTTCCCACTGCCAAGTTGCTTCCCTGGATGACCACCATAATGACCTACAGTTCTGTGCTGTGCTGGGGTTGGTTCTGTCCCATGCACTGGCCTGGATATTCCCCGGGGCATGGCAGGGACCTGACCTATCTTGGAACCAGGTCCAGAGAAGAGCCCAGTGAGTAGAATGCTGGGGTGAGGGCTGGGCCCACCTGTTCCAGCTGCAGCTGCAAGGTTCGCTGGGCCACCACATCCCCCAGCGAAATCTCCACGTAGGGGTAGCTAGAGTTGGCTGTGGGCCGCTGGGTCTGCGTTGACTGGATCTCCTTCAGGGGGAACTTCACCATCAATTCCTGGGAGTAGGGGGAGAGGGGCCAGACAGGCCTGTGGGTGAAGATAGTCTCAACCACTCTTAACCCTCCCCTGCAAATCAGATCAGTAGGAGGCAGGAGACTCCAGTTCAAGTACCTGTTCCCCAGTGACTTGTGTGACCTTGAGCAAGTCACTTTACCTTTCTGGACCTCAGTTTCCTTACCTGTGAAACTGATTCAACAAATACTGATGATGCATCTACCATGTGCCAGGCAGGCACTGCTCTAAGTGCTTGGGATACACTTAGTGGATGCTGTTGGTGCCCTGAACTTCACATCAAAGTTGCTTCTTGTGAACACTTGCACCTCTTTTAAAACTTCCTTTTTGTGGAGAACAGGGCCTCCTGTGTTGCCCAGGCAGGTCTCAAACTCCTGGGCTCAAGCAATCCTCCTGCCTCTGCTTCCCTAAGTGCTAGGGTTACAGATGTGAGTCAGTGTCTAGTCTTTCTAGGGGCTTTTTTCTGGCCCAGGGAGCAAACTTGGACCACATACAGAAAAAGAGTGATGGAGAGTTAATGCCTCAGAAAGAAGCCCTTGCAAATGACAGATGGGAAGCTGAATAGACACCCTGGCTCCCTCACCCCCAGGAGAGAAGGAAAGCTCTAGGCTGTCTCTCAGGGCCCCCCGCTGGACTGAACTTCAGGTGCCCACATCAGCAACTTGCTTGCTAACATGCCCTTTACTGGCTCCATCCCTTCCCTGACTGACTTCCTCACTCCAGTGTTTCCTGGAATCAACTCTAAATCAACCACTTGCCCTTGAATCCCGGTCTCAGGGTCTAGTTCTGGGAGCAAAAACTAAGGGGGTAACAGATCCTACTTATGGGCTGAATTGTGTCCCCCACCAAATCCCCATGTTGAAGCCCTAATGCCTCAGACTGTATTTAGAAATAATGCCTTTAAAGGAGTGATTAAATTAAAATGGAGTCATCTAATATGACAGATATCCTTATAAGAGGAAATTTGGATACACAAAGAGATACCAGTGTTGTGCACACACAGAGGAAAGGCCATGTGAGGACACAGTGAGAAGATACTGTCTGCAAACCATCAAAGAAACCAAACCTGCTGACACCTTGACCTTGGACCTCCAGTCTCCAGAACTGTGAGAAATAAACTTCTGTTGTTGAAGCTACTGAGTCTGTGGTCTTTTGTTATGGCAGCCCAAGCACACAGATGCACTATTTGAGTGCTTAGGGTATGTTTTACCTCATCTGACCTTCACAAAAGCCCTAATGGGTAGGGCTCAATTCTTATCCTAATTTTCCAGATGAGGAAAGCAAGGCTTAGAGAGGGGAAGAGACTTGCCCGAGATCATGCAGGTGGTAAGCAGTGGAACCAGGCTTCAGCAGCTGGAAGTCTTGGCCCCTTGGAGGGGTTAGGGTACCAGGGAACAGAGGGTGGTGATGGCAGGGCCAGGCTGAGGCCACTCACATGAGTCTCTGTGCTGAGAAAGTTGAGGCCATTGTGGTTGACGGCAAGGATGCAAGGGGCTGGCACAGTGATGTTGCTGCAGCTCTGGATGAAGAAGAAGGAGGAGCCAAACATAGGTAGGGCACTGAGGAGACCTGGGCAGGGAGAGGGGCCAGCAGTTACGTGCTGGGTAGGACTCACTGACAACAGCCCTGGCTGTGAACTGCACAGCTGGCCTGCAGCCTGCATCTTCTCTGGGCTGTATCTAGCCAGTGCAGGAGCCCTTGATCTGGGTCTCCACCCATCTCTGGCCTCCCTTCTCGCTGCTTCTTCCTCTATCCCTGTGTGCAGCTCTTCTTCCTCTGCCCAGGGCCATTCTGAGCCTAGGTGACATCTCCATAAAAATTGTAAAACACGTTTTCTCCAGGGAGGTGCTCAGTTTACCCGGCACTGAAAAATGCCTTTGTGCAAAGAAAAGAGGTGCCTCCGTACCCATCCTCCATGACCACCCTCCTCAGCAAAGACCCCTATGATCACCTCCCCTGCCCTACAGCTCTTACCCAGAAACTGGGCGCGGGCCTGGTGGGGGCTGAGCGCCTGTGTCTGCTGCCGGTGCTGGCTGACCAGGTTGAGCCAGGTTGAGCCTGCTGTTGTACGGTAGAGCTGGGCTGGGATGTAATCCTGGACTTCTCGCCTGTGTATGGAGGGAGGGGAAAAGGTCCTGAGTGAGCTTACAGGCTCATGCAATCCTCACTGTGCACCATGCATGCAGAGCAAACCTGATCTCTGCAACTCCCTGTTGGGGAGTGTAAATGGGCTGAAGGTGGGGTAGAGGCACCCACAGTAGCTTGGTACTGCTTAATCACTGTCTGGGCCAGTACCACTAGGATCCCTGTTTGCAGTTAAGGTAACTGAGGCTCTGAGAAGTTCACCGACTAGATAAGGTCACACAGTGACTGAGTGAGTTAGCGTCATAGGTTGGCAGGAGCAAGACTTGAACTTAAGGCAATTTCTTTTTTTTTTTTTTTGAGATGGAGTTTCGCTCTTATTGCCCAGGCTGGAGTGTACTGGTGTGATCTCAGCTCACCGCAACCTCCGCCTCCTGGGTTCAAGTGATTCTCCTGCCTTAGCCTCCTGAGTAGCTGGGATTACAGGCATGTGCCACCATGCCTGGCTAATTTTTTGTATTTTTGGTAGAGACCGGGTTTCTCCATGTTGGTCAGGCTGGTCTTGAACTCCTGACCTCAGGTGATCTGTCCGCCCCAGCCTCCCAAAGTGCTGGGATTACAGGAGTGAGCCACCACGCCTGGCCTAACCCAAGGCTATTTCATCCTTCATACCTCCTGCCTCCAAGGAGAAGCAAAAGCCAGAGGAGTGAGAGGAAACATCATGGTGGGCAAAGCCTTGAGCAGGGCTGGGCAGAGACTTGAGCAGAGGAGTGCTGGGTCTCCAGGCTGGGGCCCCTGGGCATCAACTCACCCCAGCCATCTTCCCTCTGACATATGCTGGCTACATCAGGGTCCCCTTACCTCTTGGGACATCTGGAAAATATCAATAGCAGTCCCAGCTCATCCTGACCAGCTGGAGCTGCCGATGAAGGAGGGGTTGGGAGAAAGCCAGGGGAACCCTCTCCTCCCAAGAGATTCCCTGGGCAACATCTGTCCTTTTTTGCACTGCTGGGGTAAGGGCCTGGCATCTGAACCCACCCTTCCCAGTTTTGGATCCTGGTTCCCCCATGATTAGTGGGCTAGACTTCAGCAAGTCACATAACCTCTCTGGGCCTTTTCTGTAAATGGGGAAAATAAAGTGCAGTTAGGAAGAATAGCTGAGATAATGCATATGCAGAGTCCCTTGCAAAAAGTAAGAACTCAATGATTTTCATCCAGGATTGGAATCATTATCT